AAAAGTTAAAACGCCTTTATTCACATTCTGGCCATCTCAATGCATAAAGATGTTGTTAATGGGTGAAGATCCTCCTCTGTTTCTTTTGCCAGAGCCCAATATCTCTGAAGCATGTTTTAATAGGCTGTGATGGGTTTAACTAATATAGGTCTCCTTACTTTTCAATTAATTTATATGAGAAAAGTTTTTAATGAAGTGAGACCAGACTTAGTTAAATTTTTTGTCTTCATTTTTTTTTTACTTTAAAAACCTTTTATAAATTTGTATGTGTATTTATTTATTTTTTCTATTTTTTATTTGTCTCTCGCCATGAATATTTCGTAATAGCTGACGTAGTGTTCAATTCTAAACAAACAGTGCTGTATTTTGAGGAATTTGTACTTTAATCATACTATTCAAACTGAATATAATATTCAATAAATATATAAAACCTTTTTGGGGACCCTTGCAAAATTCATATTTTTTTAGGTCGCTTTGATGTAAATCTTTCCTCTTATTAAAAATGTTGTCTGTCTTCGCTTACAGCCATTTGCAATCAATCTGTACCATTAAAATATATGTTCTTCATTCACTTTTGAAATTTAAAATTTCCATTCCAATCTCTAAACTGTGACAGCATAGATTAATCAATACTTTTTTTCCCCCCTGTAGGGACTTGGTTGATGAAGCCAAGAACTACCTCCTGCTACCCCAAGAGCGCCCCCTAATGCAGGGACCTCGAACCCGGCCCAGAAAGCCTATTCGTTGTGGAGAAGTTCTGTTTGCTGGTGGGTGTTTTAGCAAGCAGATCTTAGTTCTTATTCCGCTGATTGATTTTTGTTGACTTTCCAAGATTTCCCCCGGCACATCTGACTTCTGTTTGTGTGATTCAGTGGGAGGTTGGTGCAGTGGTGATGCCATCTCAAGCGTTGAGCGCTACGACCCTCAGACCAATGAATGGAGGATGGTGGCGTCCATGAGCAAACGGCGCTGTGGAGTTGGTGTCAGTGTTCTGGATGATCTGTTGTATGCAGTTGGCGGACACGACGGCTCGTCTTATCTCAATAGTGTAGAGAGGTGCTGCTTGATTGACACAAATTAATCAGTTGTGTTTATCACAATTCTAGTATCCAATGAATGAATCCTCAAAAAAAAGAAATCCATGAAGTTATAATGGATGGAAAAATGAAACTCAACATTTCTGCCCTCTGCTGGCTCTGTCAGGTACGATCCCAAGACTAACCAGTGGAGTAGTGACGTAGCCCCTACTAGCACCTGCAGGACCAGTGTGGGTGTTGCTGTATTAGGAGGGTATCTGTATGCTGTGGGAGGCCAGGATGGTGTTTCCTGTCTCAACATTGTAGAAAGGTTAGTGTTAAGATAATTATCCAGTTATCATCTAAATGGACATGGCTTGAAGTTTCCTCTAGGAGGGGATTTAATTAGATATTTGCTGGTTTTTTTAAGGTATGATCCGAAAGAGAACAAGTGGACTCGTGTTGCCTCAATGAGTACCAGGCGGTTGGGTGTAGCTGTAGCTGTATTAGGAGGTTTTCTTTACGCAGTAGGTGGTTCAGACGGCACATCCCCACTAAACACAGGTAAATACTGGAAGATGTAGAGACTCCGCAATATTGGAGTCAGTTGAAAGTGATCAGATATTGCTGTATGTGTAGTTAATATTTGATGCGTCTTCTGTATTTTTAGCAATAAATGCAGCCGAGGAGTGTTTTGACAGTTTTTTGATTAAAGTATTAGATATTATCATTCCAATAAAAGAACATTACTGTATTGGCGTTGAAACTTTGAAATTGTCCGTTTGGTCAAATTAGTTATTGTTCAAAGTTTCAGTGACTGTAGTCAATACAAGTACCAAATTTAATAAAAGTTGGAATTTGTGAAATTTCTCGGTACCACAGCAAAAAAAAGCTATTGAATTCTTTGTCAAATTGATATCAAAGTCCTGTTTTTTTTAACATCCCTAATGATTTATTCAAAACTATTCAAAAGTTTGGATTTAGTACGGTTAAAAAAAATAAAACTTTTATTGTTATATGTTACAAAATAATTCTATTTCAAATAAATGTTGTTCTTTTGAACTTTGTTCATCAAAGAATCCTGTAAAATGTATGTTGAGTTCCACAAAAATATTGACAAGACATCAAACATTGAAAATAAGAAATGTTTCTTAAGAGGCAGATCAGCATATTAGAATGATTTCCTATGGATCTTGTGACACTAAAGACTGCTGAAAATTCAGCTTTTACTAACGGCAATAAATTACAAAAAATTAAAATGTATTAAAATAGTAATAACATTTCACTATGTTACTGTTTTGTATTTTTAATCAAATAAATGCAGCCTTGGTGAGCATAAGACTTTTTTTCAAAAACATAAAAATCTTACCGACTCCAAATGTTTGAATAGTGTGATAGTGTTGATTGCTGAATGTCATATTATTAAGAAGATGCAGAATGTTTATTAACTGATTTTGTTGACAGTGGAGCGGTTTAACCCTCAAGAGAACCGCTGGCATACAGTGGCACCCATGGGTACCCGTCGGAAACACCTGGGCTGTGCCGTATACCAGGACATGATCTACTCTGTGGGTGGCAGAGATGATACCACGGAACTGAGCAGCGCAGAGCGATACAATCCCAGAACCAATCAGTGGTCGCCTGTGGTTGCGATGACGTCCAGAAGGAGCGGGGTATGTGAATCTTCGATGCTGTTTCAGCCTCTTTGAAAAAAAATTAAGAATTGCCCAGCAATTCTCTCTGCTGTTCTAGGTTGGTTTAGCAGTAGTAAATGGCCAGTTGATGGCAGTTGGAGGATTTGACGGTACCACATACCTAAAAACTATAGAAGTCTATGATCCTGATGCTAACACATGGAGGTATGTACACTTCTTTTTCTTTTCTTTTTTTTTTTTTCTAAAGAAAAAGGATGCATTACATTGATCAAAAGTGAAAGGAAAGACTTTTACATTGTTACAAAAAAAATTACATTTCAAATAAATTGTTCTTTTGAACTTTCTATTCATCAAATCCTAGAAAATAATGCATACACAAAAATATTAAGCAGCACAACAACTTGTTGAAACTAAGTTTTCAACATTGATAGTAATAATAGGAATGTTTTTTGAGTGCCTAATCATATCAGAATGATTTCTGAAGGACTTGAGTAATGGCTTCTGAAAATTCTGATGTGCTATCGCAGGATTAAATTACATTTTAAAATATTTGATCAAATAAATGCAGCCTTGATGAGCAGTTTTGTAAGAGACAAAACATTTTTTAAAAATGTAAAAGTTATTTATATTGAATCATGTTATACGTTATTTTCCAGTTGCTAATTGTATGATTTTTATGATTGTTTTTTTTAAGGCTATATGGTGGAATGAACTACAGGAGGTTGGGAGGTGGCGTTGGTGTGATAAAAATGACTCACTGTGAATCACATATATGGTAACATCTACAGTATCCATCTCACAGATGCCTCACCATAGCTTGTGCCTCATAGAGACATTGCGCATCATGCAAGAGGAAAGCCTGTTAAAAACTGAGTATCGTCTCCAGTTACTGAGATGGCAAAGGTATACCATCTCCTCAAGCTGCTCTGAGGAGGCTCACCTGGCCATAGAACATCACTCCATTTTGTTTTTACATTTGGTTTCTCTTTCATACTTGAGAATAGCCAAAGGCAGTGTTTCGAAGAGAGAAACAGCAGCTGGAAAAGCATCAGCCAGAGTGTTTGTTTTTCTGGAAGGAACTAGACTTCTGTTGGTCTGTTTGACTGCATTGAAGAATAACTACAGTAACCTGAAACGCACGTCGCTGGGGATTGGTGTGAATGACGCTCGTTCTTATGAGCAAATGTTTCCCTGATTGATGTTCTAGTCTGAATTGGATGCACTGTGATATCGTTACCATTTCTTTAAGTTTAGGTTTGTACGGAGCTGTACACTGAGCATTAACTGTTCTGCATTTTTACCAGATGTAAGCAGATTAGTTGATGTGTTTAATCTCTTTCTTTGGTGTACTGAAAATGCAGTCCCTCTTGAAACATTGCAATCTAATGAAGCAGTCAAAAACAGGTTTGACATATCAATGTTTACTTTTATACAACCGAATGCATTAATGAATCAGTCCATGCACTTTAATCCACTCTATCTTTTCTATTAAAGTTTGTATTTTTTTTTTATCTTGTTGGATGTATTATTTTATGCAAGTATGAGGATCCAAGATAAAAATTGATTTTTCATAATCTGAAATTTAAGAACAAACAGGTTTGCAGTAGTAGCCTGCATGTATGGTCAGAAATGTAATGTTAAGCTTGTTACTGAATATGGGATGAATCTCTTTGAAATGTTGCAACTGCCCTTACATTTTATTATTATTTTTTTTTAAATTAAGTTTTTTTTTCTTCCCACAGGAGAGTTACGTGTTCTAATCTTGGTGTTGAAATACGGTTTCATAAAGTGCATCTTCCATGATCTTATCTTATTTAATTTTAAAGATGTTCAACTGTCAATACATTTCAAAACTTTGAAAGTGTAAATAAAATATCCAAAGAAAAGTAGTCCAGATGTTTGCAGTCAATATTGAAATTGTGTTTATAGTTGATCAACCTTTTCCTTGAGGTTTAGATCAGTGGTTCTCTACCTTCTTGACTCTGAGCCCCCCCCCCATTGTTCAAGACAATATTTTCTCTGGTACTTCTGCTGTAATGATGACAAAGCAGCTTGTTTTTAAACTTTTTTTAATTGAAACTAGGAGTGTCAATAGATACAATAGGAATAACAGTGATTTTTGTAATTAAATCAATTCCAAGAACTGTTCTTCACATTTAACATGCTTTATAGTAATTTTTAGCATTGAACTTAAGCATATAACTTGTAGCCTCCTGCTTGAGAACCACTGATTTAGACTCTAATCTAAATGTCCAATTTTTCCTTGAACGAATTTGGAGATCTGTTAAAATATAAATAAAACAATTCTACTTAGATTTGTGCTTTATTGAGAGACGAAAGGTAAATATTCAAATACATTTTGTTACGCACATCTTAGGTCCATTTCTGATGTAAATGCTTTAATGAAGGATGTTTTGAGTGCAAATTAAAGAAAAAGTAATATGCAACAACACAAAGTCAATTTAAATCCATTACAAAATAAGAAACCGATCTTTTAAAATCCAAGCTAACATTAGAACAGACTTCTGCTTGCCAGTTCTACTTACATGCTTTGTAAAATGTTATATATTTAGATAGTTCGATTCTGACATTGTTGGCACTGCTAGTAAAACGTAATCAGAAAATTTCAGAGGCCCCGAGTCAAAACACATCTAAACAACCAAACTCAAGCCACTATTCATTGTGTAAAGATAACAAATATCCCTAAGTGATTTACATACTTTAAAGGGTTCAAAATGCTTGTATAAAATATAAACATACGTTACAATATACTAATAGACATACTAAGGCCTATTTGTGTGAACTAAATAAGAAACTATACATGTAGTTGGGATACATTTACATAGTTGATAATCAGATTTATTTGTGATAAATGAGTTGTATCACATTAATATAAGCCTTATGGACTGATATAATGTTATTTGTCTTGATAAAACTAGTAAGTTAAAGAAAAGAAAACAGGCATCTGAAAACAGAATAAAAAGTTCAATTTTAAAAGCTGGAAAACAAACATAGACATTTTACAGCACAAAAAATAAATATGAGACACCAAGCTTTAAAAGATATAAAAGTTTAGATGGCATGGAAAGAAAAAAAAAAAAACAACAAACCAAAAATGCATTTACAAATCTAAAGTAGGAAGCAGATTTTAGGTTGCCATTTTCAAAAGAGCACATTCTGTCAGCAGGGTAAGTAAGGTGGTGATGTAGTCACTGTTTCCAATCTGAAAGAGAGAAAAATCAAGCTGTAACAATTATAGATGCAATGCAGCACACGCTGTATAAACAATGAATAGATATGACACTGACACAACAATTACCTTGATTTTCCCATCAAGATGTGCTGATCCCAGAACGGTAGATACTTTCACAAGTGTGCCAGCAGACAGGTAGATCTTAAAGTGTCTGAAAAAATGAGTCTCCAGCCCTTTGATGAAAGACTGGACCTCATTAATATCGATCAGGTCATCTGTACTCTCCTCTGGGTGAATGCTGTTCCAGAGTTCCCACGCATCCTGTGGGTTAACTGTATACGAGACATCCAGGGGTGGCTGTGTTGGAAGGCTCCAGGCCAGTTTCAGATGCCTGATATTGCAGGTGGGATGGCAACCAGTCCACAGAGCAGCCAGCCAATTGAGAGTGGTGGAGTTTAAAGCCAAAGAACCAAAGTTGCAATCAAAAGCCCTCTCGAACCAAGATTTAACCAGGGTTGTAAGAGACTCCGGTCCACTCGTGCAAAACAGAGGTAAGCTGACAAAATCCGGAGGCAGTGACCTTAGGTACTCTGGATCACCATTGACACATGTGAGCCAACCGCGCCAGACAACTTTCGGTGCATCTGCCACTGCAGCAAATACTGGTTTGGACTGGATCTGAGGGAATAAGAGAAAAATAAACATAAATGTGGCATATTTATAAACTACTGTTCAAAAGCTGAATCTTCAGCAGCCGTTACTCCAGTCTTACATCAGCTTTCAGAAATCATTCTAATATGCTGATTTGGCGCTCAAGAAACATTTCTTATTATTATCAATGTTGAAAACAGTTGTGCTGCTTATTATTGTAGAAGTATTTTTTTCCAGGATTCTTTGATGAATAGAAAGTTCAAAGTAACTTTTTGTAGCAATGTCAATACTGTACAGCAATGTTGGTACTGTCACACCAAATGCATTATGCTAATATTTCCACATAGTGAGGTAGATATGTGGGGGCGTGTTAGAACGAGCCGTTTTAGGGGGGCGTGGCAGAGTCTTAACTTTGATAAAGAATATCTCTTTGGTTTTGAGACTTTAGTCTTTGCAACTTCAGGGATCTTATCTATGCACAATCAGCTTGTAACACTCCAAAGAGAAAGGAAAACTTGAAATCGCATCATATGACCCCTTTAATGATAAAAAAAAAATCCTTCTGATCCCAAACTTGTCATGTGATCCTTTAGAAATCATTCCAATATGCTGATTTGGTGCTCAATAATTACTTTTAATTATTATAAAACTGGTATGCTGCTTAATATTTTTATTTTTTTTGGAAACGATGCATTTTTTTTTTTCAGGATTCATTGATGAATAGAAAGTACAAAATGAAAAGCATTTATTTAAAACAGAAATCTTTTCTAAAATTATATTTACTTTTGGTCAATTTAATGCATTCTTACTGAATAAAAGTATATTTCTTAAAAAAAAAAAAAAAAAAAAAAAAAGACAACCTATTCAGGCTTACCTGAATGAAAACAGTCTCAGCATCCTCATCGGTCTCAGCCAATCCAAGAACTGCAATAAACGTGACCTTAAATCCCGCTTCTAGCCCGACTTCAACTGCAACTCCTTGCTGTTTCTCTGCCACAATGAAGGCTGAGAGATGTTTGGAATATGATTTCAGCTGTGTATGTCTGAAGTGATGCAAAGGGGTGACGGAGGACAGCTTCCACTCATTTTTTACCAGAAGAGCAATATGCTCAGGGTCAACCTTATTCTGTAGAAAGAATAAAGACATTTGACACTCAAGCCAGTCTATATCAGTACCAACATATTGAGATATACTGAACATTTCTATGATCTCTTACAGTGATTGTTTGTGATTTGGCAGTCCCTCTACTGGTTGGGATCTTCAAGACTGCTAAATGTCCTGGTGTTTGCCAGAAATATGAGGGCGCTTCTACACAACTCCGACCATAACTTTTGCTTCTACGAGTAACAGGTCTGCTGGCGGGAGTATTGACGGCACTGCATGGGTAATACAAGCAACAGATAACGTTATGGTTATTATTAATAACGACTCTACTACTAATGGAACCAACAACAGTCAGTAACTTCTGTGTTGATGAATAAACTATGTTACATGCTTAAAATACACTAAATATGGAAGTTATAAAGCATTTAAACAAACCACTTGATCAGCAAACAAACGACAACAGCTCAGACAACCGCTACTATTAGTTTGCTAAACCACTGGACGATCCATTATCGTTGTATTAAGCGAGACGCGCAAACGTGTTGTGTTTCAAATAAGAATTCTGCGCGACAAAACGTTTTAAAATAAGTTTAAAATATTAAATCTGTCGTACCTGCCGCTCCCCTCCATGATGATCAAAAACACACCGAGCCACACACACAAAACAATAAAAGCAGGAAGAGGACTTGAACATCCCGCTTTCCCATCGTGCAACGGGGCGGGGCAGGAATACTAGTCGATTGCTGCTAACAAGAGAAATATGTATCATATATTTCTACATTTAGTCGACTCTAGGTCATACTTAGCAGGATAAATAAATGGTGCTGATAGATTTAAAATTATGGTACATAAAAATAATACAAGTTGTTACAAAAGATTAAATCGATTAGTTCTTGTTTGATTAGTCATGTTAAAGCTACAGCACACGGATGCAGTTCACAACATTCACGATTCAGAATGCCAGTGAAAATTCATCTGGATTAAGATTTTGAATTTAGTTCAGTTATTTTTATCTGCCATGTGAGGCACAGTTTATAGGTGTCTGTATTATGTGTAGACCGAATTAGTTAAGGAAAGGAAAGATAAACAGGTGACCGTCAGTGTCACATTCACTGCAATAATGTAACTGGATAACGTTATATAGATCTAGACTTGCGTACACAAAGGGGACATAAACAAAACATACACAGTTGTGTGAAGTAACAGCTCTTAGAAGTATCTTTTCATTTGTTAAAGACGAGGAAGAATACTTTTTTAGCCAGATACACCACGACCCCGCATTCAGGACAATGGCAAACAAATACAGATTGTTTTTGTTTAGATCAACCCAGCAGGTGTTGAGGTGTCTGTATAGCAGAAGAGCAGTACCTTCCATCAATCATATTTATTCCACAAAACCATCTTTACCTCCAAATCCGTTAGCATGGGCTTATAACATCTCCAGAAGCTGCTCTACTTACTCATCAGGTAATGTGACCTTCATTAAACTTGACAGTGTATTTGTAATAGCCCTTTTCGGTAGTTTCAGTGTGATATCTTTTTGTGTCTTGTAGGTCAAAGCAGTTTTTCATTGAGAAGCCACACGTGTGGAGAATTGTGCTCCAGTCATGTAGCTGAAGAAGAGGTTACTTTATGTGGCTGGATTCAGTACTTGAGGTTTGAGACACAGTGCTTACTCTTTCAAAAATGCACTTGAGCCATATCGCTATATCAGATCAACATATCTGTACTTGGCTGTTTAGGCAAGATCTTTTTGTGATCTTGAGAGACTTCAGTGGATTGGTGCAAATTCTTATCCCACAGGATGAGGTAGCAACACGCTTTTATTGCATTTCTTATTCTGTGTCTGATCATTTAATTCTGGTGCTTACCCACTTATGTTAGTTCATTTGTTGCAGTAACGTGTTTTCACCATTACTTTATATTTTTCTTTGACACTTTATTTCTTTAGTCCAAATCAGAACTGAAGAATGCTTTTCTTGGTCTCACTGTGGAGTCGGTCATCATGGTTAAAGGAAAGGTCAGGCGTAGACCAGAGGGACAGGAGAATAAGGTTGCTATGTCTGTTCATATGCACAATAAAGAGAAAAGTTTGACACTTTACAGTTCAGTGTGAAATATGTGTTCATTTGTAATTTTTTATTCAATATTAGAAAATGTCCACAGGAGAAATCGAGGTCTGTGCTGAGAGCATGGAAGTGTTGAATACCTGCCGAAAGCTGCCATTTGAAATTAAAGAATTTGTCAAAGTAAGTAAAAAATACTTTTTTTAGACTAAATAAAAAAGTGTTGCATGCATTAAATTTGCATTATGAAGTAGTTCTAGTTTTGCTTACAGTAGTTCTTCAGTGAATCTCATAAAGAACATAACAAGGTCATATTTCACTACAAAATCAAAAGGAAAAAAAAAGTATACCATTTTTGATCAAAAACAGTAATATTGTAAAATATTATTACTAATTAAAATGACTGTTTTTATATTCATATATTTTAAAATGTAATTTATTCTTCTGATGAAAGCTGAATATTCAGCAGCTATTACTCCAGTCTTAAGTGTCACATGATCCTTCAGAAATTATTCTAATATGCTGATTTGGTGCTCAAGAAACATTTCTTATTACATCTTATTACATTAAATTTCTTAGAACATTTTTTTCAGGATTCTTGAATTAATAGAAAGTAAAACAAAAACAGTATTTATTTATGTATGTATTTTTTTATTGTAAAATTATACAATTATTTAAGTGAAGTGAAGTGAAGTGACATGTGGCCAAGTATGGTAACCCATACTAGGAATTAGTGCTCTGCATTTAACCCATCCAAAGTGCACACACACAGCAGTGAACACACACAAACCGTGAACACACACCCGGAGCAGTGGGCAGCCATTTATGCTGCGGCGCCCGGGGAGCAGTTGGGGGTTCGGTGCCTTGCTCAAGGGCACCTTGTCGTGGTATTGAAGGTGGGAGAGAGCGCTGTACATTCACTCCCCACCTACAATCCCTGCCGGTACGAGACTTAACTATTTGTTGTTACTTTTGATCAGTTATCTTGCAGGGACAAGGACAGGATCTTTGATTCAGTGTCATGGAAATTATGTCACAATGAAAAAAATCTTAATTGGCTTAATAATAAGAATTATGACCTTGGAGTGTTTCTTGACAGTGTTTGTGATATGTCATTTGCTTTGCAATAGCCAATGTATTTCATTGCAGATGGATGTTCTTTTCTTTATGTATATGAAGCTATGAGGTTCACAGAGTAACACTTGTTGTCCAAGTTGGATAAAAAAAAATCCCTGATATGTTTAGAAATCTGAAGCCCTCCGGATGCAGTATCGCTATCTTGATCTTCGGTCACCCAGGATGCAGTACAATTTAAGACTGAGATCACAAATGGTGATGAAAATGAGGGAGTACCTTTGCAATTTGCATGGTGAGGAAGGATTTACAGTGGTATATTCATGCTTGTACATACATCTGTTCATGTACTACAATACTCACTTGACATTACCTGTCTTTCCCCAAGGATTTGTGGATGTGGAAACACCAACACTGTTTAAGAGAACACCTGGGGTAAATATTTTTTTCTGTATAAATCAAGTGCCATTCTTATAACCGAAATATAATGCAAGATGCTAATTCAGATACACACTATTTTTTGTTTCATAGGAATCTATCCCATGTTGCTCTGCACATTTAATCAATATGGAATTGTTAAGAAAAATATATTCAAATATAATATGTGCTTGCTATTCATATGCACTCCAAATCTTCAGGAATTCAGAAACGTGGCCATGAGTATTTATTTATTTGTTAACTTTATTAAACTTCCAATCTTTCACTCATAAAAAAACACAAAACAAATATAATACTTACTGAGCCAAATCCAAAGAATGTAGAGGATGTATTGTGCAGAATGTAGCTTGACACACTAAGCATAAAAACATTTTGTAATTGCAGAAAGGTTGAATTTATGAGAGCTTATTTTACGCTGCACAATGCTTCTATGCTTTTGTCTCTTGTCTCCTGCAAGACACCCATGTAAGGCTTGCCCAAACATCAACAAAATACAGCTGGTGCGAAATATTGCCAGATCATTACCCCAAAAAAATTCTGAGCAATCACATCACTCTGGTTTGCTCCCTCTGGCTTTGTTGTTCTAAGAACTTTTACATCTGTTTTCAGCGAATGGACTTTTAAAACTTTTAAAGCTTTGATACATATGTATGAGCATCTGAATGCTACTCACTTTATCTTGGTAACCCCGCTGTTACTGGACACTTCAGTTTGCAGAATAAATTAATCAAGGCTGAGTAAGAATAGTGAATTTATACAATGGTATTGGTAATTGAAAGCATTTTTGCATTTTTTTTTTACATTCATGCACAATGTGTGATTGACACACTTAAAAACAATTGCATTTTCCACCATTGACATATACATAACTGCAGTATTTTTTCTATACTGTTGTCGCTTAATTTAAACAATATTTAAAAAATGGTTTGAGCCTATATGTTTTTGTAAAGTCACACAAATTGACGTTAGTGAAATCACTTCATAATTATACTATTATTAGACTTGTTATTTATTTCTAAAAAATTCAGTACTTTTGACTAAATAAATTCATTTCGGTGCATCATTAAAAACTGCCTTCCAAATAGTACAAGTACAGCTTGCGGAAAAGTCTATGGCACAACAAGGTGGTCAGTAGGGGGCAGATGATCATCTGGAATGTTACAATGTCTGCTAAATGACTTCAATATGAAAACCCATCGGATTTTTACAGTTGTAGGTGTTGAATAACCATCTATCTTATGTAGGAGGACTTCTCTGTATACAAAACCCATCTATTTTTTAATGGATGGATGGATGGGTGAATAGTTAGAAGGATGTGTGGGTGGGTGGATGGATGGATGGATGGATGGATGGATACACTAAGCATAAAAACATTTTGTAATTGCAGAAAGGTTGAATTTATGAGAGCTTATTTTACGCTGCACAATGCTTCTATGCTTTTGTCTCTTGTCTCCTGCAAGACACCCATGTAAGGCTTGCCCAAACATCAACAAAATACAGCTGGTGCGAAATATTGCCAGATCATTACCCAAAAAAAATTCTGAGCAATCACATCACTCTGGTTTGCTCCCTCTGGCTTTGTTGTTCTAAGAACTTTTACATCTGTTTTCAGCGAATGGACTTTTAAAACTTTTAAAGCTTTGATACATATGTATGAGCATCTGAATGCTACTCACTTTATCTTGGTAACCCCGCTGTTACTGGACACTTCAGTTTGCAGAATAAATTAATCAAGGCTGAGTAAGAATAGTGAATTTATACAATGGTATTGGTAATTGAAAGCATTTTTGCATTTTTTTTTTACATTCATGCACAATGTGTGATTGACACACTTAAAAACAATTGCATTTTCCACCATTGACATATACATAACTGCAGTATTTTTTCTATACTGTTGTCGCTTAATTTAAACAATATTTAAAAAATGGTTTGAGCCTATATGTTTTTGTAAAGTCACACAAATTGACGTTAGTGAAATCACTTCATAATTATACTATTATTAGACTTGTTATTTATTTCTAAAAAATTCAGTACTTTTGACTAAATAAATTCATTTCGGTGCATCATTAAAAACTGCCTTCCAAATAGTACAAGTACAGCTTGCGGAAAAGTCTATGGCACAACAAGGTGGTCAGTAGGGGGCAGATGATCATCTGGAATGTTACAATGTCTGCTAAATGACTTCAATATGAAAACCCATCGGATTTTTACAGTTGTAGGTGTTGAATAACCATCTATCTTATGTAGGAGGACTTCTCTGTATACAAAACCCATCTATTTTTTAATGGATGGATGGATGGGTGAATAGTTAGAAGGATGTGTGGGTGGGTGGATGGATGGATGGATGGATGGATGGATGGATGGATGGATGGATGGATGGATGGATGGATGGATGGATGGATGGATGGATGGATGGATGGATGGATGGATGGATGGATGGATGGATGGATGGATGGATGGATGGATGGATGGATGGATGGATGGATGGATGGATGGATGGATGGATGGATGGATAGATAGATAGATAGATAGATAGATAGATAGATAGATAGATAGATAGAAAGGTATTAAGTTGCACTGATATATAGACAAATCATTGGAAGTCATTGAGGTGTTTTACATTTTTAATATTTTGCATGATTTTTTTTCTCCCCCTGAACTGTGCTAATTTATTTTTGCTTCTCTCTTTTGTATTTCATAATGTAACTTTCATTTATCAGATTGGCTTGAGATATGCTGGCTGATTCAGTTCTCTGTGAGAGGCAGGAATACACAGAGTTTATTCAAGTGTAACTGTGTTTCTCAGGGTGCCAAAGAGTTTGTGGTGCCATCTGGAGACCCTGGGAAGTTCTACTCTCTTCCACAGAGCCCACAGCAGTTCAAACAGCTTCTTATGGTGGCTGGCATAGACCGGTAAAAAGCATATTTTCTTCCTTTCTTTTCTTTCATATTCACAGATTGTTGTCAGATGCTTGGCACGTTCACTAAACTCTGCCTTCACTGACTGACAGCGCACCTTGAAAACAAAGCTACACCCTGTTGGCCAACACGCTCTCGGAATCAGTATTAGTCTTAGATGTTAGCAGCTCTTAATTGTGCAGAACTGCATTTATTCCAATGCTGTGCAAAATGCCAAAACAGTGACATCTATGTGGAGTTTAGCGCCTGATACGGATTAGAATGCTGCTTTGAATTCTAGCCGCTTTTTGAAGATTTTTTTTCTCATTTTTGCGAATAATTTCAAATTGTGAGGTGGTATCAGCACATCAGTCACTGTGTGGGTTGCTGCTGACATGTTTAGCTTTGCTTACAATGTATGTGTATTAAAGGGATCTAGAGTTAAAATAGTAATAGTAGTTAACATTAAAGAATTGTCAGATTTTACAGGACCTAATATATGATCATTTTAAACTCAACTCTTTAAGTGAGTGTGAGATGATGGCAGATATAATATAAACGTAAACGTAGAGGAAATGAACATGTACAATAAAATATCCGAGGTCAGCTGATAAATAATAAATCTCTAATATAGACCAATAACCAATATGGGTTCCCCTGTTATGGTTTCCCATTTTATTTGTAATGCAAATTTTTTTTTAATAATTATAAATATACTATATAAATATACTGTTCGAAGGTTTGGGGCAGAAGATTTTTAAAGTAAGATTTTTATTTTCATTTGACTCTGAAGACTGGAGTAATGGCTTCTGAAAATTCAGATTTGCCGTCACTTGCCATCGTAATAATATTTCACAGTATTACTGTTTTAAAGATTTTATTTTTATTTTACTGTTTTTAAAGCCTTCCTGAGCAGCATAAACTTCTTTCAGAATCATTGAATAATCTTACTGACCCCAAATGTTTGAATGGTAGTGTATATTATTTATTATAAATATTATAGTATTATTCTGAGTGCACCTTTAAATACTTAAAAAGAGATTTCTTTTGTGAAATAAAGTTGAAGCAAAACCAGGTGAACAAACGTGTGAGAGAGGGTGGGCAACCACCCAGAACACACTAGTATTGTGTTGACATTTTTGCACAGGTAAGCACCTCTCTCATTTTGTTCAGAAAATGCAAAAGTCTAGTTTCTATTAGAGTTTGATGAATGATAATGGCCACAATAGTCTCATTTTAATTTCAATTTTGGCAGCACATTTCTTTGAATTAGTAGTTGTGCTAAGCCAGGACTGCAGGCTATTTTTTGTGAAAAGTCTGTCAAAGGAAAATGATATGCTATGCATGATTTAAAAATGTCAGTCAGTATTGGTCCACAGTCACTCACTTGCTGGTTATCTCCTGCAATCTCAGGTACTTTCAGCTCGCTCGCTGCTACAGAAACGAGGGCTCCAAGCCTGACAGACAGCCTGAATTCACACAGGTAATGATGCCGCAGCGTGTCTGACACTATCTGTGAAACTGGGGCTCGATTTTGATGCAGCTGAATATTGATTGTGCTAATGATGTGGCTCGCTCTAACTTCCACTCGTGAGAGTGAGAGCTGCTAACAGATTTTGCAGGATTCTCACTCAGACTAAAAATCATGAACCCCAAAAGACCATTTCGCTTCTGTTCAGACAGGCAGCAAAAAGCTGAACTTTTTTTCTTTTTTGGTGCATTTGTGTCAAATCCGATTAGTTGTCAATGTTTTGAATTGCAAAAAAACACATGGCATCTAAAACCTGATCCAAACTGCGTTCAAAATTAATTTGAAATCCAATTAAAATCACATTTTATACACCGTCTGAGCAAAAGGATCAAATTTGAAAAACAAATCATATTCATGTGCAGTGTGAACAAAGCATTTTCGCTCATTTCTCTCTTTTTTGTTGACACATCTCCTAGGTGGATATTGAAATATCCTTTGTAGACCAGGCGGGAGTCATGAGTTTGATTGAAGGCTTGGTCCATTACTCCTGGCCAGAGGACAAAGGACAGATTAATGTTCCCTTCCCCTCCATGACTTATGAGGAAGCCATAAGAGACTATGGAGTTGACAAACCAGACACTAGATTTGGGATGAAGGTGACCGCTTGTTCTTTCTTTGTACACATCATCCTAGATTGGACACAAGACATCAATGAGGTTGTTTGCATGCTGGCCGTCCTTGGCGTCATGCTGTGCTGGCATCCTGTTTCCCTACACATCACAGAATTTCATGCGGTGCTCAACAATTAAAAATGAATCCCTCGTGATACGTTTTCTTACACTTGTGTGCGACCTGAATGCGTTCAGTTCTGCTCATAGATTTACAGAGCCTTTTGCTGAATCTGTGTTGTTTTAGCATTTCGATAAATAAGAGATAAATGTTAAATACACAACCATTCAAAAGTTTGGGGTCAGTAAATTTTTTTTTTTTTAAAGAAATTAATAATTTATTATATTAATAAATCAAATTGATCAGAAGTGACAGTAAAAGCATTTATAAAGTTGCAAAAAAATTATATTTCAAATAAATGCTGTTCTTTTGACATTTCTATTCATCAAATAATCCTGAAAAAAGTATTACTGGTTCCAAAAGAATATATTTAAGCAGCACAACTGTTTTCAGCATTGCTGATAATAAAAAGTGTCTTGAGCACCAAATCAGCATATTAGAATGATTTTCGATGGATCATGTGACACTGAAGGCTGGCGTAATGGCTGCTAAAAAAAAATCAGCTTTGACAGCGCAGGAATAAATTACATTTTAAAATGTATGAAGGTAGAAAGTTGTTTAAAATTGTAATGATATTTCACAATATTGTTGTTTTTACTGTATTTTGATTAAATAAATGCATGCTTGGTCTTTTTTTTTTACTCCAAACCTTTGAATGGCAGTGTATGCATTTGTTTTAATTACAAGTTTTATTATAATTAAAAAAAATATATATATATATTTACATATATTCCACAAGACACAACTAAATTGACACAAATTGCCTTAATAATAAATTTATATTACCTTTGTGTCCTGATGTGATAGTTGTCGACTGAGTGGCAAAACTCCACAAGTTAATTCTGAAGTGTTTTCTTTTATTCAGCTTGTGGATGTCACCACAGCATTCCAGGAATCGCAAATCGAGTTTATCAAAGATGCACTTCTTAAACCGAGTGGCTGCATTCAGGCCATCTGCGTCCCAGAAGGAACGGTAGGGACAGAATCTGGAGATTTTCCTTCTTATGTCTCAACACCGCAACTGAATCTACAGTGTAGTCAGTGTAGTCTGATTTCCAAACAAATTAATCTTTTCAAGCAGCTCTTTCTAGTGATTTAAAACTGACAACACAATCAGTGTAGCCTGGTTTTCAGACTAATAATTATTATGGGCTGAATGAATGTATCAATCAATGAAATAATTTGCCACATTAGCAAACTCAGTATTAAATTAATTTCATTTGCAGCTCAAAAGAACGGAATGAATCACTAACAAATTAGTATTGATAAGATTAAAATTATTTTTATATTCCTTAGAATTCATATTCTTGCCCTTCAAGGAGTCACCAAACCAGAAATGTGCTCCTTTTAACTTGTATTATATTGGAAATCAATGAGCAGCATAATCAGTGATGTAATTCACATGGTCTTTATTCTATTTAGACTTTTATTAAAAAGTAACTGCATGTGTTGTGCATTACAGTTTCTCCCATTCATACTGTATATCAAAGAGTGGTCCGTCTTCTCCCCCTTATACTACCTCTGAAGCAGTTGAAGCTAACTATGTGTGGCATTTCTTCCGCAGAAATACCTGAAGGGCAAAGACTTAGAGTTCCTGAAACAAGCAGCCAAGACACAGTATGGTCAGGTGAGTTGTGAGTCTTTCTTCCTTTGTTTGCTGATGAAACGCCACCAGCATTCAGTGTGCGCACATCACTGGAAGTCTCCTGAAATATTTATCTGAAAAGTAATCAATAAGTCAGGATGATTTGGTGGTAAAACAGTCAAATGTAACACACAGCATACTTACCCTGAGGCAAGATCGACCTCACTAGAGGGACACAGCTCCCTATTTGTGTTGTAGGCCGTCCATGGAGTCTTACAAAGGGAATGTAATATGTGTACATATGGTGTGGTGGTCTCCACACCATATGTAGTACATATCTAATTTATGACTTGTAATGATTCATATCATATAAAATTGTTTGATCCATTTTTCATGTTAATTCATGTTAGATGCATTGTAACAAGTTAAAAAACTAATACTAATTTGCCTCTTGCCTCAGTCTGCTCTTGTTAGTGGTGCCTATATTAATATTGCTCATAATGAGGGAACTGTCCCTAAATATTGGGACAGTTCACCCAAAAATGAAAGTTGTCATAATTTTTTCACCCTCACATCATTTCAAATTTGTATACACTGGAAGTCAAAGGGGTCCAATGGTGTTTTGGACCCCATTGAATTTCCTTGTATGGACAAAAAATCAGATAGTCAAATTCAGAATATCTTTCTTTGTGTTTTACAGATTACGGTAAGTCATATGGGTTTGGAACAACATGAAGGTGATAAAATGATGACAGAATTTACTTTTGGAACATACAGTATGTGACCCTGGACCACAAAACCAGTCATAAGGGTCAATTTTTTGAAATTGAGATTTATACACCATCTGAAAGCTGAATAAATCAGCTATCCATTGATGTATGGTTTGTTAGGATAGGAGACAATATTTGGCCGAGATACAACTATTTGAAAATCTGGAATCTGAGGGTGCAAAAAAATCTAAATACTGAGAAAATCGCCTTTAAAGTTGTCCAAATTAAGTTCTTAGCAATGCATATTACTAATCAAAATTTAAGTTTTGATATATTTTTTCGGTTGGAAATTTACAAAATATTTTAATGGAACATTATCTTTACTTAATATCCTAATGATTTTGGCATAAAAGAAAAATCTATAATTTTGACTCATACAATGTTTTTTTGGCTATTGCTAAAAATATACCCAAGCAACTTAAGACTGGTTTTGTGGTCCAGGGTCACATATAGCGTAACCAGTGTAGTTCAGTTCCCAAAATTAACGGACCTTTTAAGTTATTTATTTTTTGTAAATCAACTGATTCCCAAACAAATTATTTTTGACTCGTTTATTTTGGGGGAATTAGAACCATACAGCATGAGCAGAGTTGACCAACCGATTCCCAAACGAATGATTCGTCATCGCTTTGTTATGAATAAAAACATATAGCATAACCAGTGTAGTCCGACTCCTGAACTGCTAATTCAGACTCATAACAGCTTATGAGTCGTTTCTTTTTGGTGAATCAAAGTCATACAGAACGACCAGTGTAGTCAAGCCGTTTAATGAATTCAGTGGTTCGGTTTGGGTGACCCAAATTCAAGTTCTGGCTCGTTTTACTTTCCAGTGCCGTCCACCTCTCACATTCCACCCTGTCAAATCTCCAATTATCCAATAAAATAAAAAAAAGTACAAAAATAAATCTAAAAAAGCAAACAAATTTTCTTTAATACTTCTGATAGCCGACTGTTCTGCTTAGTTTTCCCACTCCAAACACTCTAGTCTATATTGTCTTCTGTCTGTATTTATAAATGGAAAGTGAACTTTGAGCTAGTGCTTTTGGCTTGAACTAAATGGCACCGTCAAAGGTGATTCTCCATTGCTATCCATTTTAGTCCAGGTCTTGGCTTCGTTTGTGTCTGGGAAACCAGCCCGCAGTGTTCTCGAGACTGATGATTGCTCAAGAGTTTGTGCCCTATGCTGTCAATGGAAATTGAATATGGGCCGGTGGAGGAAATGGATGATCATTGCTGCATTTGCACTGTGTGTCGTACAGGAGGTGAGTGTGGTTCCAGTAAGGGCAGATGGTTCACTGAAATCCCCTCTCAGCCGGCTGCTTTCAGACATGGCCAAACAGCAGCTGCTCCAGATGGCCCAGGCCAATGCTGGAGACCTGATCTTCATCACAGCCGGACCCCGGGAGAACGTGGTGCGTATCCGCTTCCATTTTGTTCCGCATCCTCACAGATTCATATAACCATGCTGATTCAATCTCATGAAAACATCATGAGAGCTCAGGGAGCAAATATCTACAAAAAAGTACATGTGGACCACAAGTACATGAAGACAATTTCAGTTGGAGTAAATAATTCAATGCCCAGCATCCCTGTTTAATGTCCTCAAGTACCTTCCCATCAGTTTTTATGCCCTACAGTGAATGATAAGGGTTTTTGGAAAATATGGCTTAAGAAGATTGCTGACATGATCTAATCACTTTTAAAAGAATATTCATCTTCTCCGTGCCTCAGCTCTCGCTCGGGACTGGTGCAGATGGTGAGCTTGGCACAAAGTGAGACGGCTGTTTAATCACAAAGCAGAGATGTGGGAGATGGCTATAGGGATAACTGGCGAGCTTTGTGAGCAGAGGTTGTTGGATGAATGGTGATGTTGCTAGTGCTAAGTGGGAGAAATAAGAACTGGGGGAGATCTTTCTCCACAAATATAGCTTTAGAGATTTGGGAATTCATTTGCATGTTCCTGCCCTCAAATACATGCATTGTAAAAGCCTCATGTGGGGTAATTTTTGGCTGTTTCATGATTTAATAAAAATCAGAGTTGTAGTCAAAAATTTTAAATGACTAATCCAAGGTTACTAGTGATTCCCAAATGATCTGTAGCTCCTCAGAACATGTCCTTTCTAAGGCAATCCTGAATGTCCTGTTTCTTATTCTGAAACATTCATAACCTTTTATGTATGTTAAAGGGATAGTTCAAACCAAAAAGTTCAAACTTTCATGATTTCCTTACCTTTCATCATTTCCTCATGTTGGTCCAAACCTGTATGTCCTTCTTTCTTACGTGAAACAAAATAGAAGATATTTCAAAGAATGTGGAACAGTATTTGTACTTACAATGAAAGTCGGCAGGGTCCAAAATAACTAGCAACTAGTTAGTAGTGAGAATTGGTCCCTATAACTAAAGCGTTATCCAAAAAACTGTTGTCATTAACTAAAACTTCATTTAAGTAATTGAAATAAAACTAATATAAATATAAACATTATATGAAATACTTAAAAATCAGAAATGTTGCTCTGACAACGAACTGAAATTAAGTATAAGTTGAAGCACTAAAATAAACTGAAAAAATAAAATTAAATAAAATTTAAGCTATATAAAAATCAGTGTTGTATAAAGTATCCAATTGTCATACTTCAGTAAAAGTACAAATACCTTTATGGAAATTGACTCAAGTAAAAGATAAAGTTGCTCATAGTAAAACACTTAAGTAAAAATTTTAAAGTAACTGATATTAAAACTTAAGTATCACAAGTACAAGTACATTTTATACATAATGTCACAGCTGATTGAATCGGTCAACCTAACTGAGAGTCTAGAAATATATTATATAATATATAGATATATGTATAGGATACATTATTTAAGAGTTAAAGGGATTTGTTAACCTAATGAATAATTGATTTGTTAAATCAAATTAAAGTTAGTGTGTCAGATTGGTCGAGACGCTACATTGTTCACATACATTTTTTTGTAGGACAGTAGAATAAAGTGAGGCACGATAGTCAAAGATGTCCAGTAGAGATGCACTGATCTTGATTTTTCATGGCCAATTCTGATTGCCGTTTTTTTCACAAGCGAATGAGCAAATTCTGATAGGATTGCCGACTTTTAAAAAATATTTATTTTGTTTTAAGAGAATTAAGAAAGAATTACAATATGAATTGAATCAAAAGATTAATTCACGAACTATATATCGCTATGACTGATCAGCAAAGATTGCTTTCTATTTTTTGCACTTTGCAGTCGCAAATGTAACGAAAGGTTCAGGAGAAATGTTTCAGAATAAATGTATCATTTTTTTCCTTTAATATATAGTAAAATAAACGTCAGCAAAAATATTTATGCTCGTGTAAAGTACAGATATGTATACTCGAGTAAAGTACAGATAAAACTGTACTTAAGTACCGTAACGAAGTATTTGTACTTTGTTACTATACATCACTGATAAAAATATATAAAAAAATTACAAAATCACATAATAGGTTAAGTTAAAGCCATTGTGGTGTTGCAGGTTTGAGTCTGAACCCATTCCGATTGTCGATTTGTATATTTTTATTCCTTAGTTGTTCTATTTTTCTATTTTTTATTATCTGTGTTTTTGTTCTGTCACTGTCATTCTGTTACACTGTGGAGCTTCTGTCATGAAAACAAATTCCTCGTATGTGTAAACATACCTGGCAATAAAAACTCATTCTTCTTCTTCTTCTTCCCTCTTTCTGTCCTGATGATTTTTTGCAATGCTTCACTATATAATCCAGAGATGCTTGAGGCTGCCCACCATCCCTTCACTGCTCCAGTCCCCGAGGATGCCCATCTGCTGTACACCCAACCCCGCAAGGTATGTACCACACATCTCAGACAGTACATCACAGACTCTTTTTTAACCTTACAGGATCATAGCTTTGCATTTTGAAGGAAACACTTAGAGGATAGGCTGCGTTTATTTGATAAAAAGGTAAAAACTAATATTGTGAAATATTATTATAATGACTTAGTTTCTCATAATAATGACTTAGTTTCTCATTATTATGACTTACAGAATTATATTTTTTTATTTAGTGGCGGAAACGGGCTTCCATAGTTTTCTATTATAATATATTTTAAACTGTAATTTATTCTTGTGGTGGCAAAGCTGAATTTTTCTACATAGTTGTGCTTTGCTCTAATATTTGCTCATAAGTCATAATGATTTATGAGAAAATCTTTCTTTGGAGTCATTTTATTATAAGCATCAAATGGGTTGACAAATCGGTCTGAATGATTAATTAGCTAGTTGGTCTAAATCAAAACCATTTTAAAAAATCCTTATCCAGTCATCACAATTGACTGGACATATGATGTAAATGTCACAAAAATTTTTTGTTTTCATACCTACCAAAACAAACCTACTTCTGACATCCAATAATCCATTTTGTCAAGGACAAAAGTGACATTTCAGATTATTATATCATGGTTCATCGCAATGTATTGAATCATGACATACTGTATAGTGGGGTCCAAAAGTCTGAGACATCATGTAAAAATTTTTTTTTTTTTTTATACCTAAAAAAAAATTTAGTACTAGATAGCATAATAAATAATATAATTTGTAATAAAAATGTATGCAATTAGAAAAATACAAAAAGAAAACATTTTCAATGGCAGTCTCAATTATTTTGACCTCACTGTGTATTTCGATGTGCATTTACCATGAGATAGTTCAGTGTTTCCCAAACATTTTTTTAGCCACGGCACAGTTTTGATAAGTAAAAAGTCCCATGGCACACCGCTAAGCACTGAAATATAGCAAAATTGCACAAACATACATTGCTCCAAATGGCATATTAAAACTGGATATTATATCAAAAGTAGTACTTGCATTTAAAGGGGTCATATGATGCGATTTAAATTTTTCCTTTCTCTTTGAAGTGTTACAAGCTCTTGGTGCATAAAGAAGATCTGTAAAGTTGCAAAGACTAAAGTCTCAAATCCAAAGAGATATTCTTTATAAAAGTTAAGAGTCAACCACGCCTACCTAAAATGACTCGTTCTAACACGCCCCCACATGTCTACGTCACGATGTGGGAAGATTTGCATAACGCTGCCAAAATGTTCACGCAAAGAAAGAAGGCGTAACTTTCATTCTCGCTGTAGTATTGTTGTTGCCGCCATGTCGTAAAGACGCTGTGTGTTTCGTTGTGAAAGCGAAACTACTTTGTTTGGCCTTCCAAAAGAGGACAATATCCGTGGAGTGGAGTCCAGCCCGGGATCGTCACATGTGGTTGCCGCAAGCCCGCCAGCCGCTCCTTCGTCGAATCTGCCGGCCGCGCCGTTCTCTAGCCCGCCGTGTGTGATGCTGTATGTTTCGTTGTGAAAGCGAAACTACTTTGTTTGGCCTTCCAAAAGAGGACAC